CACCCCTGGGGCGGGAGCGGTGGGGGGTAGGGGGGTCTGTTCTGCTTGTCTGCAGCACAGCTGCCCCAGCTCTGAGCACCTCCAGGGCGCTAAGCCCGGCGGGTCTGTGCTGCTCCAGCTGTATCCCTGACCTGAGGGTTTCCCTCGGAGACTGAGCAAATCCATCACTCACCCAGCAAACTTTCACCCCAGGCCCCCTGGTCCTCCTCCCCTGCTTCCCCAATCCCCGTGCTGGGCAGTGGGGAGTGGCCACTGCGAGCCAGCAGGGCGCCCTCTTGTGGAACACATGGCAATTGGAGACTGTTCTCCAAGGACTGACATCTTCTGGGTGCTCTTTCTGGAAGCCACTGTTGCAGCACTCCCACCTGTGATGAGCCGTTTCTAGGCAGTACCCGTCCCTACCTTCTTTGTGTCTCTATCTTCCCCGTGCCCAGGGTCTTCCTGCGGACGGAGGGCGCAAGGCCCTCTTCTGGGCCCACACTTTAGCCACACCCCTCTTGGGCCTCCTAGGCAGAGCCACAGACCAGAAGCGAGCCTTACCGCGACTTGCCAGTGATATGCTCTGCAGCCAGATGTCTCCAACAAAAACAGTGGCCCTGACCCCCTCCCCAGGCACAGAGGTGGTCTTCCCTGTCACCTCCTGCAGCTGGCAGTTGGGTAGGGACTCAAGTGCCTGAGCCCTGCGCTAAGGCTGGAGGTTTGCTTGTACCCTGGACTGGGACTTTGACAGCCTCCTGTCATCTCTATGCCACAGACCACTGGCTGGTGGAGCAGGATCTTGGAGCGCCAAGGTTCTCACACAGATGATGGAGCGGCCGGGGCAATATGGGGTGACCCCGTGGGCCTGCCAGGTCCCGTAGGCAGAAGCTCGCTGTCTTTGTACTCAACTTCTCTGCCCTAAAAACCATGTAGGGCAAGCAAGGGGCCAGGATTTGGGGCACTGCTCAGTGCCCAACGTGGAGGAAGAGGGACAAGGGGGCTGGTTGGTGTCACCAACATCCAGCCATCATTTTCTCAAAAACCATTCTGTGGCAGGCCAAGGATCCATCCATCGGTGTACACAGAAGCCCCCCGGCAAAGAAACAGGGGTGCACCTTGCCTGACAACCTTTGACTGCCTACACAGGGCTAAACAGGAATAGAGAAAGGGTTGCAGGTCAGGAGGGACTAGGGAGGATGACTTTAGCTAAAGGGTGACCAACCAGCACACAATCAGCAACGGATGAGGACTTTGAGAGGAAAGAACATTCCAGAACTAAAGGCCTATCACCTTATAGTATTTCACTCTCCAAAGTTAATTTTCATAGATCCTAGATTTCCATATTGTTAATGGGGGTTATTAAGGCTATAGGACAGTGCCTGTCAACCTTCGGGTCTCAAAAAGACTCATTTACAGGGGTCACCCAAGGCCATCAGAAAACAGATATTTATATTACAATTTATAATAGCAAAGCTGTGCAGTAGCCACAAATAATTTTATGGCTTGGGATCACCAAGACATGAACTGTATTAAAGGGTCTCAACATCAGGAAAGGTTGAGAACCCCATGATACGGGGTTCCTGCTGAGCCAGAGTAGGGGGTAGTCAAAGGAGGGAACTGGCCCTCCTCAGGCAAGGCTCCTAGGTTGGGGACAGCCGAGTTCTGCAGCCCCTCAGCTGTGCTGTGTCTGGGTTAATGTAGCGTGCCTCTAGGTTCCTTGGGGGCAGTTACCAGATTTAGGAAATAACTCATATAACCAGTCAAATTTGCATTTCAGATACACTTTTTTTTTCCAGGACAGGAAGTTGAAACAGGGCCTTGCCATGTAGCTCAGGCTGGTCTAGAACTCAAAATACCCCTGCTTGGGCCTCCGTTTAGTATAACGATGTGTTTTTTTTTTTTTTTCCCTGTAGAATCTTGGCCCTCCAGGGACTCTGGCAGCCCCATCAGCTTTGAACAGGACCCTGGAGGTTCTCTCCAATGGCCAGGAGCCCCCACCTCATACCCAGGCACTCTGTTCTGCAAGTCTAAGGAGCAAGCCCCCTACACACAGAATGCCTTTGGCTATTCTACCCAAACACCTGACCTCTGCCCTGTCCACTGTAACCCAGCCCACTGGGGACACCCTGCTTGGGACAAGACCCCACTTGACTTCTATCATCCTGGGTGATGCCCACTCAACATTCTTGGTCCCTGGGCTTCTAGCAAATGCAAGGTGGGCCTAGTCCCATAGGAACTCTGGTCCTGAAATTTAGTACTATGTGAGTCCTCCCCCGCCCCAGATCCCTAAATGAGAGCACCTAATTGGCAGGCTTGTGAAGCTGGCCCGAGCAATGTCTCAAGTAACTTCAAACCCCCTCAGTCAATGATAGCCCTCCACATGCACCCTTGGGAGAGAAGCCTTCCCAAGGCATCCATCAGTGCACCCTCAAGCCCTCCAAACCCAGAGATCTATTCTTGCCATTGCCTTGCCCCACAAGAACCAGTGTCTCCTCTCATACCGTCCGTCCTGCCCCCGACTCCCCCCACCCCGAACACCCTGCCCAGGGTGCCAGCCCTGGCCTTTCTCCAGTCACCCCGCTAACGCATCGTGTGACCTGCCTGCCTAACCCCGGAGGTCTCCGGCTGCTCTTTGGTTGTGTGTCTTCCATCCATCCCACCACACCTGGCCCTATCCAGTGCCCTCTGACAAAGATCTTAGTGTGTTTGGCTGCCAGCCCAGGGTCTGCACGGGAGGTATGTAATTCTGTGCTAGAGACCCCAGCTCCTCAGCCTGTCCCCACTACGCTAACTTGACCCCAGGAGAATGTTTCCTAGGAAGACTGGCGGTGTCCCGGTAAGCGCCCTGATCCATGTGCATCCAAAAGGAGCCTGAGGCTATTGTCCTGGCTAAGCCATCAGCAACCTCAGGTGCACTGGTCCAGGGCGAAGCGGACGCCTGGGAGGTGCCCCTTTGTCCACTGGGGCGGTCCGAACCCCATGGAGGGCACAGAGGCCCAGGAAACAAGTATCGCGAGAGGGTCCC